AGCATAATTTAGCAGTATTTAGCGGTATTTATGTTACACAGTTTTAGTGTTTGTACTCTATTTGGGGTTTATTTTCTAGTTTTTTTTAGCTCAGAAATATACTCTAATGCTTTCAGAGTGCAAATTAATTATTGTCCTTATTGCTATCCGATGCTTTTAGTCCGTAAATGATCTTGATCCCCAGTGCAGTAATCCACATGTGAAAACTGGTATGAAAACTGTAATGGATGCAGTGCCTAAATAGCATTCGACAAAAAATAGACACTAACTACATGAGAGTTTGTAGCAAACACTTTGCAGTCAAAATATGACTATCAAAGTGTAACGTAATTGCTTACACAGCAATTTTCTAAATCTAATGTGAACACGAGAAAACGTGTTAACTAGCCAATGCCTCGCTTTGGTTCTTCACCAACATCTTTGAAAAAGGCTTTTGCACTCACAAAGCGTTAAAAAACTTAAATATAAATACGAAAAAAAGCTCAAATACCGAGGTCAAAAATGACCTAACTTTGAAGAGATTTCAACGGCTTTCGGCCGATAATCGCCATAGGAGGCCTGGTGCCGACTTCTCTTCTCAATATCGAAATGAAAGAAAGTTATAGTGCTTAAAAGGGGGGTAATTCCGGGAGAAAGACCCATAGGAATAAATTCGGAAAAAAATAATTTCCGACCTCGCTGATTCGAACACACGAGCCTCGGATTTGTATACTACCGATGGTCTACCAGCTGAGCTACAAGGCCAGACTGGGAGCAATTCGGGGTGAAATAGATCTTACATTGTAGTAATTAGAATGTAAAGATATGAATGTGAGGACCGCATTACACTATGAGCCGAAACATGATATAGAAATGAAGGAAAGTTATAGTACTTACAAGGAGGTTATTCCGGGAGAAAGACGCTTGGAAATAAATTTGGAAAAATCTATTTCCGACCTTACTGGGATTCTCTGGGTCCTCTTATTCATACTTCCTCTCAATAGTCTTATTATAGGCCCTTTGCAGCTGGGGGTCACCTGAGCACACCTACCTTAAATCAATCAGCAATGAAAAAATGATGTTCAGAAATGTAAAGAGGGGATAAAAATAAGTGAAAAGACATAGTTTCAAGTATCAACACTAAATATTTCAAAAGTGGTAGCAAATCTATAGAAACGTGCAAAAACAGCACTGGAGAGGGCAAGGCTTGCGTATGCTCTCCAGTTCTATTTTCCCACACGTTTTCTTCAGAAAAATTCAATATTTTATCAATATTTTATATTTGTTGTCATTTTTCAAGTATTTAGGTTTGCCATTTTACCAACCTAAACTTACTCATCATTTTTTGATAGCCGATTGATTTAAGGTAGGTGTGGTCACGTGATCCCCAGCTATTAATTTATTAAATATTTATTATTTATTATTAATTGTTAAGAATTTATCTTTGTTACAGTAATCATTATGCTGCGGATTTCGTTGAAGTTTCTGATGCAAATTACGAGTTTAAAATAAGAAAATGTCGTGGAATGCGGCCATTTGAGGTTTTGATCAAGAATCGTCCAGCAGTAATCAGATACCACTCTGATAAAGGCAACTGGCACAGGTTTTCTGGAGTTAGTGTCACCTTCTACATCATCACTCAGAAATTGTCAGGTCAGAACCCTTACAATTGCTAGGCGGGTGCTTTATAGGTCTTTATATTCTGATAGAATTAACTGACCGGACACTTGATAGGTCTTTTAAGATCTTTTTCTTCCCTTCCTTTCTTGCTTGCTCCCTTGCTTGCTTCCTTCCTTCCTGACCTTCCTTGCATCCTTACTCCCTTGCTTCCTCCGTCCGTCCATCCCTTTCTTTCTTGCTTCCTTCTCTCTTTCCCCACTCCCTCCCTTCCTCTCTAGCTTCCTTCCTTCCTTCATTCTGGCTAATTAGGTGTGTCTTAATTTTTTGAAGTCTTTTTTCAACAAAAAACAGACTATATGTAGTATACACTTGCAAATCCATCCTTAGTTGATGCTGCATTAAGTAAGCATGAGTTTTTAATTATTATATTTTTATTTCATTTGCAAAACTGTTTTTTATCGAAGATTCAACTGTAAATAGATGGGATCCAGCTATTAAACAATCCAAACCTGGTGAAGTTACCATTGATTGGGATCCTTTGACGCTGCCATCAAAGAACTATACTGTTGTGCCGTTTTATAACTATACAACGAAAGGGGAGCCATTTCTGTACATCATTGAACATAGAAAGGAAACGTCAATGATAACGCAACACCTCGATCCAGGTTCTTCGTATTCCTTTAAAGTCATTGCTTTTAATTCT